AATAACATATAACAATGAAATCAGGTAAAAGAATAGATAAGTTTCTCAAATAATTAGAAGAATAAAGAATATTTCAATTGTGAATTTCTTATTGAAAAGTGAATTTTGAAAAAAAAACCCAAATATTTTTATTTTCTTTTTTGTTTTTATTTTCTTATAGTATGCTTGTGTATTTTTTATATTTCCACCCTTTTTTTTAACCCATTCCCTTTATAGTTTCATATATCCCAGTGACTTGTTAGAATATATGGCAATAAATACCTGCTGGTAATGAAGTGATGGATTAGAAGAGTATTTACTTAGAGTCGATTATGGAATAAAATATTGTTCCCAATGTCAAACTTAGAGGCTATTATTGCTTATGACAAGTTTTTTAGATTTGATAGAAATGTTTCCTATAGTATGTATCATGCTGCTTGAATGAAATATAATTATGTTTTCAATAATTGATTAATAACTACGATCTAGCCTGGCTGCAGATATTACAAAAAAAAAAAACAATAATAATTTGAGTACCGCTGTATGAAAATCATGTTTTGGATTTTTCGTATACGTACTGTATGCAGATTTTCTTTACCGTGTGAACTGAATTCTGATGATCTCAACTATTTTAATTCTTTCATCGGAGTTACGGAGTTAACACACAATGATAGAGTTGACCTGTGTTACGAATTTGCAAAATAGTTAAAGTGATACCATACGATAACTTTTTTTCAGATACGTATAATGTGTTCCATCAAAGATAATTCTTTAGAAGAGATTAATTATAGCGCATTAGAAGACTTTGAAGTCATTTCAGCTGGTCCTTCAAGTGAGGTCAGCCGTGCTTGTCTAAGTGCCGAGAGGAGTACAGTCATTCTCAAATATTTATTAGAAAATGACGAAATTAGATATCGCAAGAAATTTTTCAATGAGGTATATAAGCGAAATTTTTCAATATCTACCTTGCAAGCTGTTTTGTTTTTACTAAAACCTGGAATTTATAAATAGGTGAAAAACCTGAAAAAAATTAAAACTGCAGAAAATGTCATAAAATTTTTGGGAGTCACCAAAGGTAAATAACAAATAGTAATTATACTAATATATACAGAAAATACTGTATATTTGCATTTTATTGAAAGCGATTAATTAGTTAAATATATTTTAGATCCCTCTAAGAAATTTGACTCCATGGTACTTCGGCATTGCTATGGAAAAGACCTCAGAACGTATTTAAGACGTCATTTTGACGAAATAGATTGGCGCCGTAAACTAAAAATGGCAGCTGAAATTGCAAACGGCTTACAATATATTCATAATGCGAATATCGTACATTGTAATCTAGTAAGTACAGTATGCTGTAGTTGTGTTAAATTATTCGTAACATATCCAATTTTGCTCTATTAAATTTAGAACTCGAAAAATATATTAGAACACGATGGAACATTAATAATTATAAGCTTTGGTTCATCAATATCCCTTAATAGCAAGGATGGCTTTACCTTTGAAACTACTATTGAACCAGAAGATGCTATTTATATAGATCCGATATTCTCTTCTGATGGAAAAATGGACAAATATTCAGACATATATAGCTTAGGAGTAATATTATGGGAGATATCAAGTAACAAAATCCCTACTAGTAATAGAGAAATTCCGGTCAATTTAACTCCAGTAGATTATAAAGAACTTTATTACGATGCATGGAATGACGATCCCAGAAAGCGCCCAGTAATTAATGATATAATTAACCGCCTCAAAAATGTTGAAATTGAGCACGTATATCAATACTCTGATTACACTCCAAAGGTCTATTCTGGAAATAATAGTTTTATATCTACTAAAGAGGCTTGCTTAATGGTTATTAAAGGTTCTCCTCTAAATCAATACTTTTTCCTAGATCAAATCGAAATAAGTATAGGGAGGAATGACTCTAATCATATTATTATAAAAGATCAAGAACTTGCTAGAGAACATGCTAGCATTAAAAATGATCAAGGCAGAGTTCAAATATTTGATCTTGGTTCAGAATCGGGAATTTACGTTAATAACGAAAAGCTTGCAAAATATACTCACCGCACGTTAAGACGGAATGATAAAATTTCAATGGGTCGTAGCGTTCTTCAATACCTCCCTACTGGGGAATACGAAAATCGTATTGATGGTCTTACACGGATTTATAATAGAAAGTACTTTGACACGGTGTTTAATGACGAATTCAAAAGTGCAAAAGAAGAAAAGCGAGACCTAAGTCTATTATTTTTCGACATTGACCACTTTAAAAATATAAATGAAGAAGGAAATAATACTCATGATACGGGGGATTATGCTTTAAAAAAATTAGTCAGATTAATTCAAAATCTAATTCTCCCTGATGATATTTTTGCACGGTATGGTGGAGATGAGTTTATTATTCTTTTTAAAGATAAAAATATAGGGCTGGCCTTCGAAATTGCGGAAAAAATTCGGACTTGTGTTCAGTATAATTTTTTTAATTATGACGGAATAAAATTGTCGGTTACTCTTAGCATCGGAGTTTCAGAAATAAGCTTGTCAAAAACTCCCGAAAGTTTACGTAAGCAAGCAGATGAATCCTCGAAAATAGCGAAAAAGCGTGGCGGAAACACGGTTATAATGTGGAAGCACGGATTAAATGAAACCAGTATGTTAAAATTTTAGTAGTTAAAAATAATATGAGTTTTATATGCATATAGTATATTAATTTATTAATATGACCCTTTAGATGTTTTTGCATATTCCGTGGTTCAAGAGACAGGGACTGGGCAAGATATTATAATCAGTATGTAACTGAGGTTATCGTTAATGAGTTCTTAAAAATATTATCTCATAATAACAAAAAAATTTTTTTTCTTTTCTTTTTTTCTTTTTTTGAACAGCAGAACCTCGCGAATTTATTGAAGATTTGAGTAAACCTGAGAATTTATACAATCTTAAAGATTTAGTGGAAGACTACAATCAAAATATTTCATTTGAAATGCTTATTTCGGCTTTAAAAAAATTATCTGATGCCTCGCCATTCAATGAATATGTGGATGAAAAAACATCTTTTCATTTGGAATTGCATCTTAGGACCTATGTTTCTGTTTTGGAAAGAATTTACTATTCAAAAATGATAATTACAATGGAATTTCAGAATATGTATGACAGCCTGGATAATTTTTTAGAAATCCATTATCGTTTAACAAAAGCCGAACAAAACGAGTTTAAATATCAAAACTTAGATAATCGCAATAATTTCGAAAACCCTCAAATGTATTTCAGCAACTATAATATCAACTTCCTTATTATTCATTTAAGAGACACCTTACGTAATATGGAAAATGATAAGGATCCTTCATCGCAATTTATCAGACGGGCAAAATATTTGTTAAAGAAGATTACACATGGAATTATGACACCCATAAAGGTGTTGTCTTTTTCATATCCCACTTCTAGTTGGTATATTCAATGGCGTGAACTACTAACGGTTAATAACGTTTTAATGACGTTGGACGAAGACGAAGATTATCAAGAAGGAGAAGTCATGCTATTGGAATTTATTTGGCAGAGCGTATTTGATGAGAGGTTTAAATCATTAAAAGCGAATTATAAAATTTTGGATGATAAATCAGAGTTTATTAAGATGATATCCGGAAAAGAGTCTATTTCTTTGGCAAATTTATTATGGTTTGCAGTACTTGATTTGGTGCAATCTATCATCAACAGAACTTCACAAGAATTTAGTTTAGCTTTATGTTACTACATAGGCCTGGAGTCTCTACACAATTCCCAAGATAGGTTTATAAGATGCAAAGCCGTAGAATTGTTATTCAGATTATCATCTTTGAAACCAGATCCATTCGATCAAATAGTTCAGACTGAGTTAGAAGTTTACAAAAAACAGTCACATAGCGGGGAAAAGAATATAGACATATTAATTAGTAAAGTTTTGCAAAGAATCCAGAGAGAAAAAACAATTTATAAGCCATTAGTTAATCAAGTAAAACTTAATAAAGGAAAGGAAAAAATTGCTGGAGAAGATATAGTACAGGACGAATCTGGATTATTAGATATTATTGCCGATAAATTTACTTGTCCTATAACAAAAGAAATTACTGGAGATTTAATTACTACGGCGTGTGGGCATAAAATGAGCAAATCCGCTTTTAATGACTGGTCATCAACTTCACAACTTGAAAATAGAGAAATTGAATGCCCATTGTGTCGCACTCCAATTCAAGAAAACATTCTTAATACTCCGCGAGGCACAATTTTAAAGGGTATTTCTGGACGTATGGAAACAGCAGGTTACTTTGATCCCCAAGAATTAAAGCATGAGCCGTCAGATCCGGCGCTTGAATTTGATCACAAAATGTTCTTAAAATTTAAGTTGAGCGCTTATGGATTATCCATGTCCAATAAGTTTTCTAAAAGATTTTTTAAATGGATATTACCGGAGAACCTAGATTACACATGCCGCCGAGCAATTGCAGCCGAGAAGAAGGAAAACTATTCGGAGGCTATCTTGTGGAATACACGCGCATTAGAAAAGTATCCGAAAAGTTATTTAATTAGATGCAGAAGAGCGCGCAATTCAAAGAAGCTCGGATATCATAAAAATGCACTTGATGATTTAGAAAATGCAATTAAACTGAAGCCTAAAAAATTTTACGCCTATTTTGATAGAAGTCAAATTTTTTATGATGTCAAAATGTTTAACGAAGCATTAACGGATATCAAAGAGACGTTAAAAATCCAACCTGAAAACATATCGGCATTAATTTTGTGTGGAAATATAAATTATTCACTCGAGAAATACGAAGAAGCATTGAAATATACCAAGGAAGTATTAAAAATTCAACCTGAGAACATATTAGTATTAATTTTTTGTGGAGGTATAAATTTTTTACTTGAAAAATATAACGAAGCATTGAAATATATTAGCGAAGCATTAAAAATCCAACCTGAAAACATATCGGCATTAATTTGGTGTGGAAATATAAATTTTTCACTTAAGAAATATGATAAGGCATTGGAATATATTGACGAAGTATTAAAAATCCAACCTGACAACATATCAGCGTTAATTTTATACGCAAGGATACAAATTTCACACAAGAGATATGATGAGGCTTTAAAATATATCGAGGAAGCATTAAAAATTAAACCTGACAACATATTTGCATTAATATTGGGTGGTGATATATATTATTCACTCAATAAATATGTCGAAGCATTGAAATATACTGAGAAAGTATTAGAAATTCAACCCAACAACATAATAGCATTAATTTGGTGCGGAGATATAAGTTTTTTTCTCAATAAATATGATGAGGCATTGGAATATACCAAGGAAGCATTAAAAATTCAATCTAACAACGTATCAGCGTTAATTTTATACGGAAGGATAAATTTTTCACTCAAGAGACATGATGAAGCATTGAAATATACCGAAGAAGCATTAAAACTTCAACCTGACAACATATTAGCACTAATTTTATATGAAAGTATAAAATTTTCACTCAAGAAATATGATGAATTATTGAAATATACCGAGGAAGCATTAAAAATTAAACCTGACAAAATATCGGCTTTACTTTTGTGTGGAAATATAAATTATTCGCTCAATAAATATGATGAGGCGTTGAAATATATTAACGAATCATTAAAAATTCAACCTGACAACATATCAGCGTTAATTTTATACGGAAAGATAAAATTTTCACTCATGAGATATGGTGAAGCATTAAAATATACAAAGGAAGCATTAAAAATTCAACCTGACAGCATATCGGCATTAATTTTGCGTGGTAATATAAATTATTCACTCAAGGAATATGAGGAAGCATTGAAATATATTGAGAAAGCATTAAAAATTCAACCCAACAACATAGAAGCATTAATTTTGTGTGGGGATATAAATTATTTACTCAATAAATATGATGAAGCATTGAAATATACCAAGGAAGCATTAGAAATTCAACCTGACAACATATCAGCGTTAATTTTATACGGAAGGATAAACATTTTACTCAACAGATATGATGAATCTTTAAAATATGTGAGCAAAGCATTGAAAATTCAACCTGACAACATAGTAGCACTAATTTTATGTGGAAGTATAAGTTTATCACTCAAGAAATATAATAAAGCGTTGAAATATACTGAGAAAGCATTAAAAATAAAACCTAACAACATATTAGCACTAATTTTATGTGGAAGTGCAAATTTTTCACTTGACAAATATAATGAAGCATTGAAATATACCGAGGAAGCATTAAAAATTCAACCTGACAACATATCAGCACTAATTTTATGTGGAAGTATATATTTTTCACTCAAGAAATATGAAGAAGCATTGAAATATACCGAGGAAGCATTAAAAATCGAACCTGACGAAATATCGGCATTAATTTGGTGTGGAGATATAAATTCTTCACTCAAGAAATATGATGAGGCATTTAAATATATTAACGAAGCATTAAAAATTCAACCTGATAACACAAAAGCATTACTTTTGCGTTTGGATATAATTTTACGCAAGAAATGTGATGAAGCGTTGAAATATACCGATGAAGAATTAAAAATTAAACCTGACTACATACAGGCATTAATTTTGTGTGGAAATATTAATTATTTACTCGAGAAATATGATGAGGCATTGAAATATATTAACGAAGCATTAAAAATTCAACCTGATAACATAGAAGCCTTACTTTTGTGTGGTAATATAAATTATTGGCTCAAAAAATATGATGAAGCATTGAATTATATCACGGAAGCATTAAAAATTCAACCTGGCAACATATCAGCTTTACTTTCGTGTGGAAATATAAATGTATTGCTCAAGAAATATTATTCAGCATTGAAATATACCAAGGAAGCATTAAAGATTCAACCTGACAACATAGTAGCGTTAATTTTATATGGAAGTATAAATTATTTGCTCAAGAAATGTGATGAGGCATTGGAATATACCAAGAAAGCATTAAAAATTCAATCTGACAACATATCAGCGTTAATTTTATACGGAAGGATAAATTTTTCGCTCAAGAGACATGATGAAGCATTGAAATATACCGAGGAAGCATTAAAAATTCAACCTGAAGACATATCAGCACTAATTTTATGTGGAAGTATATATTTTTCACTAGAGAAATATGATGAAGCATTGAAATATATCGAGGAAGCATTAAAAATTGAACCTGACGAAATATCAGCATTAATTTGGTGTGGAAATATAAATTATTCACTCAAGAAATATGATGAGGCATTGAAATATATTAACGAAGCATTAAAAATTCAACCTGACAACATATCAGCTTTGTTTTTGTGTGGTGATGTAAATTATTCACTCAATAAATATGATGAGGCATTGAAATATACTTACGAAGTATTGAAAATTCAACCTAACAACATATCAGCGTTGATTTTATACGGAAAGACAAATTTTTCACACAAGAGATATGATGAAGCATTAAAGTATACCAAGGAAGCATTAAAAATTCAACCTGACAACATATTAGCGTTAATTTTATACGGAAGGATAAAATTTTCACTCAAGAGGCATGATGAAGCATTGCAATATACCGAGGAAGCATTAAATGTTCAACCTGACAACATATCAGCATTAATTTTGCGTGGTGATATAAATTATTCACTCAGGAAATATGACGAAGCATCAAAATATATCAACAAAGCGCTAAAAATTCAACCCAACAACATAGAAGCATTGATTTTGTGTGGAGATATAAATTATTCACTTAAAAAATACGATGAATCATTAAACTTCTATAAACTAGCCGACCATTTTGATCCTGATAACATAAAAATATTTCTGGCATTTGGGAAAATTTATTGGGAAACTAATTATTTTAAACTATCAACAAATTACTGGACTCTGGCGTTAAAAATTGATCCAAATATAGCAGAAACGTTATTTGATTGTTGTAAACCGAATGCGTTGGATTTTTCTTATTGCAAATTAGGAGAAGCAGTAGGAAAATCATTGGCAGCGGCTCTATACAAAAATACCATACTAACCAATTTAAATATTAGAAATAATGGAATAGGAGAATCAGCAGGAAAAGCACTGGCAGAGGCACTATACGAGAACACTTCGCTCGTCGAATTAGATATAAGTTGGAATAAAATAGGAAAATCGGCAGGAAAAATACTAGCAGAAGCACTATGCGTTAATTCCACACTAGCTAATTTAAATATTAGTGGTAACGGGATAGGAGAATTAGGAGGAAAAGCATTTGCAGAGACACTATGTAAGAATACTACACTGATTAATTTGAATATTAGTAGTAATGATATAGGAGAATTAGCGGGAAAAGCACTAGCAGAGGCACTTTGCAAGAATACCACAATAACTAACTTGAATATCAACGATAATTGGATAGGAAAATCTGCAGGAAAAGCATTGGCAAAAGCACTATGCGAGAACAGTGTCCTGAACGAGCTAGACGTAGGCTCGAACAATATAGGAGAATCGGCAGGAAAGGCGTTAGCAGAGGCACTGTGCAAAAACAACTCACTGACTAATTTGGATATTAGCAGTAATGAGATAGGAGAATATGCAGGAAAAGCACTGGCAGAGACACTACGCAGAAATAATACACTAACTATCTTGAATATTAATACTAACGAGGTAGGAGAAGATGCAGGAAAATTAATAGCAGATTCATTATGCAAGAATACTACACTCACTAATTTAAGTATAAGCGACAACAAGATAGGAGAATCAGCAGGAAAAGCACTAGCAGAAGCACTGGGCAAGAATACCACTCTTCTCGAATTAGATATAAGCCGGAATAATATAGGGGCATATTCGGCAATATCGTTGGCAGAAGCGTTATGCAAGAATGACGCCCTAACTCATTTTAATATGCGTCAAAATAATATAGGAGTATCAGGAAAAGCGCTAAAAGAGGCACTACGCAAGAAAACTAATTTTGAATATTGGTTATAATGAATTAGGAGAATTGGGAGGAAAAGCACTAACAGAGGCGCTATTAAGAATAATGAGAATAATTTCTTGTCAATTTAGACGTAAGAAAATCAATATTATCGCTATGTAATAATAATTTCTGAAATTATAATAAATAAATATTGGGATTAACATTAAAATAAACTTTCTTTTTTAACAACTAGTGCGTAATTGATCAAATAAAAAAGTAGCATAGTTCACATAAATATCCGGAAAAATTTGTTATTATTATATAATTTTTTTAAAAAATTTTTAATTTTTAATTTTACCAGAGAAACTGTTTTCTTATAATTTGGCGCATAAATATCGAAGGCAACAAAAAACAATAGACCTACTCAATGCTCAGCAAAATAAATATTCAAATTTTTTTAGGGCAGATTGTACCTTATATTAAGGTTAAAGGTCATGAAGAATCACGATAATTTAAATATTATAAGATTCTAAAAGTTTCATTTTTCTTTGTCAAGAATTTTTGTTTCATGTATATATTGCCATTATTTCCTGATACATTGTAAAAATCTTTTAAAATTAAAGATTTTAAGAATCTTAAAAATTGTGCATTAGATACTGTAGCAGGCTATAAAAATATTTGCGATCTAATTTGAGAGATTTTAATAAGTCAAAGCTTATTTTTATTAATCATCAAATTTTAAAAAACAATTTCATTATGAAATTAATGTTTGAAATAATAATTTTGCATTCTTTGATTTCATCTTTTTTTTTCAATTATGTATGGATTACAATGATTTTTCAATCAACATTGCACTATATTTTATTCATATTGACAGCTATATAATGCATAATATTTATTAGTGTCGATGCAATGATTAAGTAAAATGCTTTCTATGATATTAAATGTGCGTTAAAAGCAAAATAATTTAGATTGCAATATTTTAAACAGATGATTGTACATTATTTTTCGACCAGGATTTTAAAGAAAGTAATAAGTTGTCTATTTTATATAAACTCCGATGAATTAAATAAATGTCTATATATACTAATGTTAATTTTTTTTCTTTCTTTCTTTCTTTTTTTTTTTTGATCCCATAAACTCTAATAGAAAAAGAAAACAATATTTGACAAAAATAAAATTTATAACTTATATCAATTAATTTAGAGCCAGATTATCAGGACGATATTCATGTATAGAGCCTCGGTCAGCTCCTCTCTTGCCAAATCTCCCAGTTGATTAGATCGTAAGTTCAAATTAGTCAGCGTAGCATTCTCGTGTATAGCCTTAGCAAGTGCAATTCCGGCAGAGTCCCCTAGTTTATTACCCTGCAGGTCCAAATCAACCAAGGTGGCATTCTTATTTAGAGTCTCAGCAAATGCTTCGCCTGCAAAATCGCCTAGTGCCGTATATGCTAAATCCAAACTAGTTAACGTAGTATTATCAATTAAGGCTTTGGCTAATGCTTTTCCTGCTGCATCTCCCAGATTATTGGACCGTAAATTCAAATTGGTAAGGGAGGTGTTCTTGCATAAAGCATTGGCCAACGCTTTTCCTGCAAGATCACTTAATTTATTGGACTCAATATTCAAGTTTGTCAAGGCCTTGTTCTCGCATAGAGATTCGGCTAGGGTTTTTCCTATGAGATCACTTATTTCATTACTACCCACATCTAATACGGTCAATACAGTATTCACGCATAAAGCCTTGGCCAATGCTTTTCCCGCTAAATCACTTAGTTGATTAGACCTTAAATTCAGATTAGTCATGGTTCTATTCTTATATAAAGCCCCAGCCAGTAATCCCCCTGACGAATCACCTAGTGTATTACAGGATAAATCTAAAATTGACAGAGTGGTATTCCCGGATAGAGCATCAGCTAATGCTTTTCCCGCTAAATATTCTAGATTATTAGACCGTAGATTCAAATTAACCAAAGTGGTATTACTATGTAGAGTCTTGGCTAGTGCTTTCCCCGTCAAATCGCCCAGTTGATTGGACTCTAAGTTTAAGTGGGTTAAGGAGGTGTTCTCGCGCAGTGCCTCAGCCAATGTCTTTCCTGTGGAATCTCCTATTTCATTATAACTTATATCCAATTCAGTTAAAATGGAGCATCTGCATAAATTTTCGGCTAATGCCTTTCCTGATAAATCACCAAGTCTGTTGGATCTCATATTTAGATAGATTAGTGCTTTATTCTCGCACAGGGATTTAGCCAGCACCTCTCCGGCAGAATCTCCTAGTTGATTATATTCTACGTTCAAGCTGGTTAGAGTCGTATTTCTAAATAGAGCCATGCCTAGTGATTTTCCTGCTGAATCTCCTAGCGTAGCAGACGACAAATCAAGACTAATTATGGTGGTATTGTTTAATAGAACCTCGGCAAGTTCTTTCGCAGCAGAATCCCCCAACGGATTTGACCGTAAATTCAAGTTACTCAGGGTAGTATTTTTACATAGAGCTTCGGCTAGTGCCTTTCCTGCGGATATCCCCAGTCTAGTATGTGTTAGGTCTAGATTAATCATGGCTCTATTATTGCATAAGTTTTGACTAGTGCTTTTCCTGCCGAATCTCCCAGTGGATTTGATCGAAGGATCAAGTTACTGAGAGTAGTATTTTTATGTAGAGCTTCAGCTAATGCTTTTCCGGCAGAATTTCCTAATTCATTCCAACTTATATTTAAGCTTTTTAAAGCTAAATTCTTGCATAAAGCCTCGGCTAATGCTTTTCCTGCAGAATCCCCTATTACATTGCCACCTATATCTAATTCGGTTAGGGTGTTGTTCTTGCAAAGAGCCTCAGCCAACATCCTTCCTGCGAAATCTCCTATTTAATTGCCACCTATATCTAATTTAGCCAGGGCGGTATTCTTGCATAAAGCCTCGGCTAGAGCTTCCCCTGCGGAATTTCCCAACATGGTATACGATAAATCAAAGCTAGTTAAGACATTGTTATCAATTAGAGCACTAGCCAGCATTTTTCCTACAAAATCCCCGAACTGGTTGGATCGAAGATTCAAATCAGTCAAGGTTTTATTGTTGCATAAAGCATCAGCCATTGCTTTTCCCGCGGAAATACCCAATCTAGTGTTGGCTAAATCTAAATTGATCAAGGTTTTGTTCGTGAATAGAGCATCAGCCAATGATTTTCCTGCCCATTCTCCTAATCGAGTAGACCGTAGATTCAAATTTGTCAGAGCAGTATTTTCGCATAGGGAATCGGCCAGTGCTCTTCCTGTTAGAGCGCCTATTCTAGTATACGACAGGTCCAAACTAGTCAGGACGTCATTTTTAAGAAGGGCCTCGGCCAACATCTTCCCTACAATATCACCTATGTAATTATGTCGTAGGCTTAAGACTCTCAGGGTGGTATTCTTACATAGAGTCTCAGCCAGTTCTTTTCCCGCCGAATCACCTAATCGATTAGACTCTAGATTCAATTCGGTTAAAGTACTATTCTTGCATAGCGACTTGGCTAGTACTTTTCCTGCAGAATCACCTATATATCTTCCCGCCAGATTCCAGCTTAGACCGTCTCTTTCATCATCAGAATTACGTCGAGGATCATTAAGAATAACTTCCCAAAGCTCTAGTGCATTCACAAAATTTCCTGTTCTAAAGAATTCTTTGGCTACACTTCGCTGTCCCTGAAGGGTATGTAACTTATTAACTTGAATTGTCTCTTGGTTCGTGTCTAAAACTAAGTAACTTCCTTGAGGTATTGATATAGAATCTGTCAGGTGAGAACCGATACTATAACGGCTTTTTTCTAATGATTCATTACTGGAGATATCTAAAATTGGAATTATTAACTCGATATCTAAGTCCTTTAGAATATGGACTACTTCTTCAATTTCTGGTCGTTCATTCGGATTTTTGTTCTGGCATCTTTTATATAGTTTATAAAAGCTTACAGGGGTACCTTCGACAGGATCGAATGGATAATACGGAATGGGAACTCGACAGCTTGATATCTCCCATAAGATAACCCCGTAGCTAAAGATGTCCGATTTTTTATCTCTTTTAAATCCGTGCTTAATATAGCACTGAGGGTCGATATATCCTGCCATTCCTCGAAGACCCGAATTCGATGATGTCACAGGATTTTCGTCCAAGCTCTTTGAAAGGCCAAAATCAGCTATCATCATTCTGTCATCGTGCACTAAAACGTTTTTAGAATGTTAAACAAATGATGAACCGTGAATTTTTAATTGCGTACACACCGGGATAATTAATAAATTTTAAGGTGATTACCAGATCTCGATGGATGATTCCTTCGGAATGCAAGTAGCATATTCCTTCTGCGATGTCCAAAGACATTCGTCGCTTATCCTCCCATTTGAGCGAATCCTTATGGGACGCTAAGTAATCACGAAGATTACCATTATTTGCGTATTGCAGCACAAGCGTGTATATTTGCCCTTCGGGATCTATGGAAACTTTATTAGGAATCCTAGCAGACGATCAAAGTAAAAAAATGCCAGAAATACAAAATCGGCACGAACCTCTCGTCACACCATAGAATTCATTGAGATTTGGATGGTATAGGACTTTATTAAGTAGTCTTGCCTGACAAAGAATTATAGTTTATTAAAAATAAAAATCATCTTCGTTGGAAACTTTATTAAAGACATCCCACCTCACGTATGAATTCTTTTAACGACATTTCGTCTAATTCCGGAAGATCCGTTTTCAAACGTTTTAATGCAACGTGTTTTTCATGAGGCTTCCATTCTGCACATTCCACAACGCCAAAACCTCCTCTCCCAATTTCTTTGATAATTTCGAATTGATTATAATCAATAAAATTTACGGAACCATCCTTTATTGCTTCTTCTAACCATTCGATACAATCGACAACTAATTTTATGTTTTGAAGGGATTGGATGATGACTATAGAGTTTCTACTAAAATCAGATTTGATTTTTTGAATTTAACTCACCAGGCATAATTTGATTTTCAGTCATGGTAACGCATGCGCTAAAAATACGTATTGAGTGTTCATCATGTGGTCGCACTCACAGTACGTATTAATATGATCCAACTTTTTGGCTGCGTCCCACCAATAAAGTTCGCAGTGGGATAACATTGGATTCGAAAAGGGGGTGGAAATATCCTTGCCTAATTTAGAAAGTATACTAATTGATGCTGAGAATAAACACTCCCAATAAGATTCGATCTTCAAAGAATGTATAGTATGTAGCTAAGAACTATATTAGACCCGAGAAAATCAAAATTACGTATCGGATCACCATAATGCGAGGTTGCCTTTTTTTTTTCTCCGATAATTTAAAATCATCAATTAATCAATCCAAGGTTAGTAAAATTTTTATATATTATACTTTAGTTTAATATCGTACTTTCGATCGATTGCCGAATTACATATATAATTAAAATAAATCATCGATTATTTATGCAAGTATTTTTCTTATTTTTTGATAACATTAAGAATATAAAAAATTTTCTACAAAAATTTAACAAAGCCCAAACAAAAGTCCAGCTTTTATAAAAGCCCACAATATGATTTTATGTGCAACTATTATATTATTTTTAAGGAAATTGCGAAGTAGATCCGACTAATGTCTATTTCCACCCAACATATCTCACATGCGCACACTTATATGCTATCTTTGTAACTATCAGATCTTCTTGGTCGAGGTATGGCAGGCGCTGGTTTCTTTAACAACCACTCCTTTCTCAAACTACTCAAGTCATCAACTCCTATTTCTTCACTAACTGTCCTATCACGGCCACCTGTTCCCGCATCATAATTAAAATCTTCCTGATATAAACCTGATAATATATTTTCCGGTGAAGAAGAGCTTTTTTGATGCGTTTGATGCTTTAGATCTTGTATCGATTTTGGTTCTGGAGGAGTAGAAATTGAGGCTGAGGACAGGGTGTTGGATCTTCGTCGACTCACGTCATCATTCATCCCACTGCTGAAACTTCTCTGATGGAAAGAATACCTCAAATGTGGATACAAGGATGATGTACTTCTCGTGGCCAAACCGCTCGTAATAGATTTGGTGACTCCCCTGAAACTTGTTGCTCCGGCGTTACTAATACTACCACTGTTCTTATGTCCTCTCAAAAAACTTCTGCTAGCAATATTTTGATTACGAGAATTCGTCGAATTAATATCGTCATCATTTGAGAATGCCAAATATTTCATCTTATCAAGCCTTATTTCATCCTCTTCATCCACAGTATCATCCAAATATACCACGCCTTTCGCGATACTCGGTCCACTGAGATCAGTGTCCAGAGAATTATCGTCGTCATCGCTTCTCCGCTTTCCCTTATCTTGTCGCTTCGATCTTAATGATAGAGAATCAGACTGCCGTCGAAAATATTTGGGAGATCTTAGGTTACTAACCAATGATGATAATGGCGACTTATGCTTCGTTGGAGAATTTAAGATGGGTGGTGTTGTATATGTTACATCTGAGGATAGCGTTGTTATTATTGGCGTGATTTCTGTCGTTGGTGATAATGATTTGGGGAAAATTGGTGATGATAAAGTAGTAGAGGGCGATAATGGTGTGACGGAAAGTGACGTAGAAAATGTTGGGGACACAAGAGATACGTTGGTATTGCTTGTGACTGTGGTGTTTGTGCTATATCGTCTCAATAAGTTATCTATGCTTTCCCCTTCAAAACCACTGCCACTTCCTTCTCCTAGTTCGCGCGAAATATTTCCTTCGTTGTCTACCATATTCTCTATTATATAGTGATTGCTATCATTACTATTACCTCCGAAGTTGTCACCAACTACATTACCACCAGTATATTCATAATCGCCGAGACTTCTGCGAACATTTCCCCCAGAGTCAAAGTAATAATCATAAGTTCTTGGTTGATTACTATTATTATTCCGACTAGGAAAGGCGTAGGTATCACTAGCCCTCTTCCGTTGATGGGGGCGTTTATGATGGCGAAATGTGTACTCGGGATCAGAATCGCGTCTTTTGTTTGTAGGAAAACGCGTTTCACGCGAGGATCGTAGATTTGTGAACAATCTTTGTGGAGTTTGCGGAACCTTTACCAACTTTGAATCAAAATATTGGGTTGGAGTCGGAGTCATTATAGAGTCTTTGCTTTTGTGACCAGAGTCATTAATGGAAATATTTTCTGATGACCTTGAGAAGTCTGTGATCGTTTGCTTTTCAGAAAGATTCTTTTTGTCACCGTCCCCGTAACTGAGATAAGGTGTTAATGAATCATTGGAGTTCAAATCTCTCATACTGGAAGGACTGTGATGTAGAACGTTAAGAGGAGAATTTTTGGGAGAAGTAGATGATATTTCGGAAGTGGTCATTATACTATTCGACAGACACGATTTGAACAGATGATGATTATGTGTGCGCAAAAGAGGCAGGCAAAGTTAGTATAAAACTTCACGCAATAATGAGGAATAGAAAATTATTTTTAATATCCCTACACTTACTGATAGATTGTTATCACTTGCATAACATTTATTACTGCCGGCACCACAAAATTCCAAATGAAGAAATATAATAGATTGATTTCTCGATTGTAAATGGTACTGCTATGGTAATATAAGCTATAAGGTAGACAGGCAGGAAGTTCGATTAGGGCAATCGCTAGTTGAGCTATAATTGGGAATGAAAGCTGTAATGATCATGGGACGATAAATGCCCATTGTAAAATAAAGTCAGACAAGAGAATTATTCAAAATTCCAAAGCACTTACACTGCGGCAACCGCGTCTCAATTGCACTAACTTTATTTTCACCTCTCTACTCCTTTCTTCTATCCATCCATCCTCATTTCTCCCACGCAATCCATTGATCCTATCCCACACCGCACTAACAAAACTGCACCATGTACCCACCATCACTGTGACATATAATAGGCCCAATGAAAACCAGACTAACTGATGAATACGAAAGTACGAATTTGCATTCGCAATGTCTCCAATGTTGGCATAGTACCCAGTCAGTGTTGCAAGGGTCAGGAAAGTTACAAAGGACATGAAGAAAAGAAGAAAGAACATAATGTCGGTTAGAACATTGTAGTGGGCGATTGACATCGAAGAAAAAATTGAACTGAATGAAGAAGGTTGACGGCGGGGAACCGTGAGAAATTGAGAAGTGTCGAATTCAAATGAGGACCTGGAGTAGACTAACAATTCGATTTTTTTTAAGTTAAGTTCCAAAATAATGAGAAATGAAAGAAAAGGCGAAGGTTGTAAAAACTTAATCATGAAAATGATGACACACTTATACTCAACGGACATGTTATCACGAGTGCAGCTCCGAAAGTTTGAGGCAGCACGTTTCCGACTTTGAAGGCAACAGTAAAGAGTGAGTGAGAAAACCAACTCAGATTAGATAGGTTGCGATAATACTTACTTTCTGCAGAAATCACATCATGATAAGCATTGGAAAGGAGTAGTACCGAGTGTATGATTCTGACTGTATACGTTTATTTTTTTGCAAGAAAACAATAAATAAATAAAAATAAAAATAGTTAATAATTGCGGCGGTTGCAAAAAAAACGAGACATCAAGGATCTTATTTAGACGTGATACCGTAATAAGAACAATCACATTCAAGCTTTGATTTATAATAATAAAAAACAAATACTCACACAACAAATACAGAGCGCTGATCAAACACCAAAAATATGGTCCCGGGCGTATGCACCCTCGATCGTGCCGTTTAGGTAACCAAATATTTTGCCTATCTACACGGATGAAATGGTATAACAACCCTAATGCGATGCAAAGCAGGATCAGACAATAAGGCGCAATGGTGTAGTTAGTAATCACCAGAATATGGGAGTCAATGCACTGGTGGATCGTCAGACGGAAATCGCATGCGCATGAAGCGGTGGACAGGAAGGAATTGGATGGAAGTGGAGAAGAGGATAGGTAATAAAGGGAGTATTGATAAAAGGAGGAATCAGGAACAGACGAAGAGGCGGTGTCTTTACATACTAGGGAGAAAGGGTTTTGTAAGCCCAACATAACAAATTTCCGAGAATGTTTGTGATCACGAAATCGATGTGCAAATAAATGCGAGGACGGGTGAAAATTGTGTTCCGTAGCGAACTTTGCATACGCAAAAATAAATGCCTTCCGTATTTTTGTGGTTTTTAGGATCTATTCTCGAGTTGAATGTTGAAAGTAAAATTCCAGAATTAATTGATACCTAAATTATTTCACTGAAAATAAATCCGTTTATTCAAAATAATTCCGATTAATAAATTGAAAATCAATTCCCTTTGTTTTAAACAATCACTCACCTTATGACCCGCCTTTGATTAGTTCGATAATTATGGAAATATGTCGAACCAAAGTTACTCGATTTATTATCATAAAGTTGAAACAGGTCTTTCTCGGGGGAGAAGTCTCTTTTTAAAGGATTTGAAGTGGTCCTTTTTTAAAACTTTTTCTTTGTTCTAATTGTTATAGTAATTGTCAATTATTAAAATAATTTTTTTTTTCGATTTGTTCGATTTCTTATTTTTTTGGTTAGACCCGAATGAGGTGATTATGAATGGGTGGATAAATGAGTATATGATGATAAGTAGATGAAGTGATCGAAGCGTAGCAGATCTAATTGTGAGTACATATGTTGCGTAAATATCTGGTGATGGTGTTTGTTTATTGTTATATATATATATATATATGAGTTTAAAGCAATAATTGATTCGAAAAGAAAAGAAAAAAGAAAAAAGAAAAAAGAAACGAGAAGATCGAAAACAAAAAAATTAAAAAAGAATATTATATTGCATATTAATTCAATCTAATATTATCTATCATTAAATACGACTTATTTTAACCGCTCGATTCTATCTTACATATACTTATGTACGCGTTTCCAGATATTCTAACATAAACGAAATGAACGATAAGTCGGCTATTGCAAACTTTCTGACTATTAAAGAGCCCCTATCGTTATTTGTTTACTTTTGTGTCAATAATTTGTGATTGTTATGGCCTCGATATCACTGCCGATGCCACCATCCGTCTGTTTTAGGTTTAGGGTGAAAGGGTTGTATTACTATTATTGTAATTAAGAATACGTATTAAATGTGAACTCTCTTGATGATATAATTCTCACAATGAAATACTCATGCCATGTGTTCTTAGAAAGGCATAGCAGTGTACGGGAAAGAAGAGGGCGTTGTATCGAGAAGGAAAGGCGGCGATAGAAACGATTGGTATAATAAATTTACGGCAAGAAGAAAGACAGATGGTAGCGGTAATAATGAAAATAGAAGAAATAGTAGAATAGATAAAAATAGAGAAAAACAAAAGTAAATAAGAATTAGAGTAATAAAAAAATCCTAGACAATGGACTAATTAGTATGTATTTATGTGAGAAAAATGTAAAACGAACAAAAGCGAAAACACCATAGAACGTTAGGCGGAGGTAATGTTGAACTTAACAATCAATAGTTACTTGTCAAAATATGGCAGAGAATAGCGCAATAACTGAAGTAACAGATTATGTAAGCAAAGAATGAGAATGTTATTTGTGCAAGTGTAAACTAAACTTAAATACATACTTACGTATCGTCGTCGCTATTGTTATGCATAGCGTTGAAATAACAAATATCGAAATGCGCGATGTAAATAAAGTGGCTGTCCGGAAGAAATGAATGGATTGATATGGATAATGTTTCTTGATATAATACAATAACGATTATTCGAAAGGGATGCGTACGTATGTATCCATAACTGAATAAATATTTGACGGTTGAAACGAAACGATATTAATCAGGACAAAGAAATTGGATAAATGAGGCTCGATCGGCAATAACAGGTAAAACTGAACTAACCTTTTTATTCTATCGCGCATTTGCATGATATTAATCCCGAAAGAGGGAGATTATCAGTGTATGACAAATACAGCAGACAATATAGTCAACAATAGAAATGCTCGGAGAAAATTCCTGGGACCGTATTACACGTTACACAAAGTTGCATACACACGAGTGTCATATACCATATCTTCTCTAGGTCGTTTTTTTTTTTTTTTTCATCGTCTGCGCTTGGAAGAGGCAAGAATGCATATACTCATTAACGGATAACTTTATATAGCAAGATTTTTCAATCCTATGGATTCGGAATTGTCATTAAAAGGTGATGAAAATTGTAATCAATAAATCCATCCAGATTTTTTTACAAATTCGAATAATCGAAATACAGTATTTTATTTTTTTAAAGAAGTAATAGTATTTTAAAACTTGACATCAAAACAAATTTCAAACATTTAAATAATATATAAACAATATATTTGAATCAAAAAGATAAAAAAAAAACTATTATTAAATCTATTTTATATTATAACTATCTATATAATGATTAAACAGCAAAAAAAAATCAAAAACACAATATTTATTACTTAATTATTTTAATATTCTATATTGTAATTATTAAACTCTTGATTATAATTTTTTTCTTTAATTTTTTTATATATTATCCAATATAAATAATTTAAGTTTTAAATAAAAAATCAATTAAATTTATTAAGAATAATTAGAATTAATATCTTATTTATACAAGTAATTATAATTTTATTATTAACAGTCTGTTTTTCTTAAATATAATAATAATTTTAATTTAAAAAAATTTTTTTAAATAAATCTAATATATATTTTGTTAAATTTAATAAATACAAATCAATTTTTTTATATTATTATTAATATTTATTAAAAATTAATTATTATTATTCTTTTATTAAATTGTATAATACTATTTTTTAATTAATAAAACTTTAATGTTTTTCTTAATATAATTTAAATCAATTATTAAAAATCTTTTTTCTTTTATTTTTTTTTATTTACAATTCTCTTTAAACAAAAACTTGAATTATTATTAATTAACAAAAATATAAAAATCATTTTTATTAATAATAAAAAAACTTTTAAAAAAATACAAATTAATTGTAAATTTTTTTCATATTTATAAAATATTATTTTTAAAAAATTTTTATAATATAAAAAATTAAATATCTTTTTATATTATATATTAATCTTTAAAATTTTAATCAAATTGTTTAATTTTAAATTTTAAATAATATGAAAAAAAATTAATTAATATTAATTACATTTATAAAATATAAATAAAATTATATTGATTATATAGTATTTATATAATATATTTTTATTCTATTTTTAATTAAAAAAAAAAAAACTCTATCCGCTAATCCTCCTTTTTTCAAAAAAATTTCCTTTTTTATTAATTTTCTTAAAAAAAGTGAAACAGTTCAAACACACAAGGAAAACAACATATCCTTTAAATCAAGCTACCAAGCATTTTCAACACATATACAACAAGTTATCCAAAAACATCAAGGAAAGAGGTATATACTGCTTTACTAACTTTTTTACTCCTTTTTCTTAAAAAAATTTTTAGGAGAAAAAAAAAAGACCTGCAAACTGATTCACAGATAGAAACAGGGGGTCAATATTAATTTCACACAGCTTACAACCAGGCTAGTGCAGGTTAACACCTTTCTTGATATTGTAAGGAACTCAAAAAGTAACTAAGTCCACTCGATAAATCATGTTGCTCCAGTTACTCAAAGGCCCAGAAGGATATAAAAACTCACTAAAGACAAGACAGTCTAAACGTATATACACACATAAACAACATACCTATTCCTTCTCTTGTTATGCAAATACGAATACATAAAAACTAGACAGACAAAACAAGTATATGCATAAAAGTGACAAGCAAAACACTTACATACATATATAACTTGTTATCTAAACAAATTGATTGACACTTTACACAAGTATGATAATAACTCTCAAAAGTAGGATAGGATCATCAATATAAACAAATAAACACATCTAAATAACAAACAAAGTTTTTCCGTATTAATTAATCAAAAACATAAACAACAATAATCTCAGAAAGGATTATCCGCGACCTAAAAATAGACTATCAATAAATATAAAAAGCATTCACGTGATCTATTAATAGATTCGAGCCAGTAAACATAAATAGAGCATAACGTATATTACAAATAGTCAATAAGAGAGAAGAAAATATATTAAATATTCTAATTAACCTCTCAAGAAAATATGACGAACATTCTATCCTATAGGCCTCACAACAACTACTACAATTAAGAAACAGCGAACCCAATAGATCAATAGCATCATCACCAGAAACCTATACCATTTTAAATAGTATTATAGCTAAGATATTAGGAGTTGACATAACAACCTTTCACAAAGTAAGAATTTTAACTCATCATATTATATATCTTTGACAACAAGGTAAAAAGATAAAAAAAGATTTTCTACAACCTTATATCGAAGACAAGGTTATGGAAATTATTAAAAATCCTATAAGCTATACTAAACCAGAGCAACAACCAATGGAGATTATCAAACAAGTAGATAATGAATCCATAGAAGACAATGAAGTAATAATAACATATGCACAGGATACAGAAGAGTTGAAATTATAGGAACTCTAAGAAATAGTCAAAAGACAATATATTAGTGAACACAGTTCTTATACTACTAGAAATAGAGACAGTGCACCATCAATAAATCCGTATTTCATAAAAAAGAAAGGAATTTATAAATTAGAAGTGATAGAAGTCAATATTCCAGGAGAAACAAATGACAAAATCAAAGCATACTTGGGCAACATTTTCAAACTTCCACAAGAAAAAAGACTGTTAAAAAAAGAATTTATTAATAAAAATAAGTGGTTAGTCTTTTGAGTACAAGAAGAAGAAGATATTACAAGATATATAGAAGAAGTTAACCAAAAAGAAGACAACTTTGTGATTTAACATATAATATCCCTGACTACCCTTAAGAAACAGAAAACAAAAAAAAACTTAGACAAAAAAGTCTTTCAAGATCCTAAAACCAAGAAGGATACTGAGGTCTGACATGTATGTCTGATAAATGTGGATCAAAAAGTCAATAAGAATATTATAAAAACACATCTAAAAAGATATGGAGAAGTCCAAAATGTTCATATC